GTTTTCCTCATTTCCTTCTCAGAGGCTTTGTCACTAATATACAGAAATGTCTTTGATTTATGGGTGTTGATTTTATATCCTGCTACTTTGCTGAATTCATTTACTAGTTCTAGAAGTTTTCTGGTGGAGTTTTTTGGGTCTTCTAGGTATAGAATCATATTGTCAGCAAATAGTGCTAATTTAAGTTCTTCTTTCCCTATACATATCCCTTTGGTTTCTTTCATCTTTCTGATTGCTCTGGGCCTCAGGATCTCTTAAGAGCTCATCAGACAGGTCAATTGTGCAGTCCAGACTATCACCCCCTGCCACAGAGAAACATTCCAGTTACCAAGTGAAAGACTCCACTAAGGAAGCTGTAAGTGATCATTCAGAAACATCAGCTCATCAGCTTCAGAGTGGCACTGAGCCCTTGGGTATGGTGTCCAGGACTGTGGCTACTGTGTAAGCAAAGTTGATTAGCCCAGACCCCTGCCCTTCTTTCTTGCCCTTCTGAACTCAGCTGTGAGCAGTGGGAAAGGTTGCAAGGGGAGCTTCCCATCAGTTCCCATGACTGGTTTCAAATGCCCTCTGAAAAGGCTTTGGGTGTGTGAGGGAGTCTGGGTCTAGCCTAACTCAGGCATTTGCAGGGTCTCTGTGAATTTTTTCCTTGTCCCAGTGATTCACTCAGCTGCAACACACTTGATAATAGACAAGAATTCAGTGAATTGAGCAGGGCTCATTTTGTCTTCTTAACAAGTTGGAATGAGTTCATCCACAACAGTTGTCCTGCTGTGGGTACATCACAAATCTGTTTTCTTTTGCTTCTCTTTAAAAATGTTCCTGAGTGATTTCATCAGCAGTGCTGTTGCTAAGCCTATTTTTAGCAACTGAAAATCATGCTCAGAAATACTGTCATGCCTTTTAAATAAGGACTAACCAAGCTTCTACAGTTGACTGATACCAGAAACTTCTTGCCCTGAGCAGAAAATTTAGCCTTCCCTGGGGGATTCAGAAAAACTGCACTCATTGTTGGCAAGAAAAGGACCTTTGTTTCAGACAATATGCTTTTTAATGTATTACCACAAAACTAATTTCATTCCTGCATACCAAAGCATCACTGGGTGAATTTCTTTCCCCTGTAGATAAACCCAGGGTGACAATTGCCCTTTAAATGTCAGCACATTCGTTTTAGCTTCTGGGGTAAACCTTGTTGTATATTTATTCTGTTTCTCCCAGCATGATCTGTTACTTGTCAAAAAGTAGGGCAAAATGAGGCGAGTATAAGTACTGCTGCCAAATAAATGGCAAATAGTGAACTCTCCTGCCTTTGTTTCCTTTTGACACCAAATGTTTTTCTGAATCTTCAATGAATAATAGTCAAGTTATTTCTAAAGTCAGAGTAATCACTGACTGATGAGGCCAGGTGGGGTAAGTGGGGCAGATTGCACCTACTCAGACCCACCAGGCAGGTGCTGCAGATGTGTGTGCACCCAGTTCAGAGATGACTGCCTTGCTCATACCCGTGAGTCTGCCTGTGTTGAATGTGTTTTAGTAAAGATGCAGTAGGAGGTTTTGATGAAAACATTTCTCAGGATCTGCAGAATCAGAAAAACTGGCCTTAAACCCATCTACTTTTTTGTAATTTTGTTTTTTAGTTGTAAATGGACAGAATACCTTTATTTATTTTTATGTGGTGCTGAGGATCAAACCCCATGCCTCCTATGTGCTAGGCAAGCTCTCTACCACTGAGCTACAACCTCAGCCCTCCATTTACTTTTAGTATTGGTAGTGCAGCAGCAGTCCTTCTTACTGCAGTCCTCTCTGAGAACACTGAGGTCAGAATTGTTCAGACTTTATTAACATAATGGTACTTTATCTATACAGTTATCAGAAAATGCTTAACACCACATGCATTGGACTGCTTGCCCTTTACCCTCTTATCATGGGCTAGGAGCCATAATAAGTATTTTTGCAAAATTCCCAAATCCCTGTTGAGGGTCGGTGAAGTTTGGTCTCCCCTTCTTGTATTGTTATGTCACTGTATTCAAATTCTGGGAACTGCGCCTGAGTTGGAACCTAGAGGAAAAAGCCTGGGGTTTAAACTGCCTTTTTAGACACTTAGTATATCCTTAAATCACGTATGTACGTCAGTACTAATCACACTGAATGTTTAATGCCTGACAAAGATCAACTTTATTTTCTATAAAAACCTCTACAGGGTGTGTGTATGTCACATTGAGCAGTGTTGCCATGTTACACAAGCCATTCCTCTAGTAATAATTTGTGTTTTGTTTTTTCCCATTAAGGATAACTTCAGTAATCATCTTATTTTGGTTACAAACCAGAGTTGAAACTACCTCTTACATAATTCTTGGCCTGACTTCCAAGAAAGCTAATGTTTTGCTGAAGCAAATGAAGTAATTTAATAAGTGCTTGAAATTCTTGCTCTGATTTTATGTGGGAGGGCAGCTTCATCTGTTTTTCTCTCTGTAGTTCTGGTGGTGTTTTTGATGAATATAAAATAAAAAATAACTAATTTCTGAGCTGCTGAATTTTACATATTGTGTAATTTATATAATGTCTTATTCTTTTAAATGCAAATGAAATTGCCAAGTTGATTTTTGTGTATTAAACAGAATAGATATAATTCATTCACTCTGGCAGTTTCTATGAATTTCAACACACTTATTTCTTAGATCGATATATACATACACATATATACCATTTCTCAAAGATAATTTAGTCCTTGGGGGTGTCTCTATTATATATGAGTCTTCAGGACTTCACTTGTGGAATAGAGGCAGTTGCCCCGAACAGCATAGCAACTAGCAAAGTATTAAAAGTAACAGGTTTTTTCAGAGAAATAGCTCCATTAATGGTTGGCTTTGACATGAACCGAAGCATCTCACAAAACATTGTGCTCTAAGAGCATTAAATTCCATGTATATGCCAGTTAAGAATTATGTATTAGTGGGACTCAGGCTTAAGCATGTGAGCCAAGTAATGACATTACATCTTATTCAAGCAGCTGGTTTCAGAGGCCTGCCCATTCCTCCACATGTTGATTTAAAGGACTCATGCTCTGAACAGAGCATGGATCCAGCCTTCAGGAATCCCAAAATGCTGAGTCCTGCAGAGTCAAGGCTGTCAATACAGAAGTCAGATCTTTCCACAAATTTATGTGACTCCAAGATGATTTCCATTCTTTTGTGTTTCTAGGAGTTAGGAGAGGCTCTACTAAAAGGGAGCATTTGAAGCTGAGTTTAAGAGAAAAAGAGCTCTACAATGATGAAAACAAGGAAGGACATTGCAAGGATAAGGATAATGCACAAAGGCCTGAGAGATTATCCTTATTTACCATGAGATGGTCAAAGATGAACAGGCCCTCTCCCAGCTGCTAACCTAATAGGGAAATATTTCATTTTCAGCAATGTATGAACAAATACCCTTGGTCTCTCTCTGAGTGGATAAGGGTTCAGACTAATAATCACAAGTGCAGTTTAGCTGCATTGCACATTATTTGGTAATAAAAAAGAAAAATACCAAGTGATGTGAGGTCTTTTTAGGCCACATCAAACTGTCAGGAAGCCAGCAAGTACGTGGAAAAGGGCCGGGTGGAGGTCTATGAAAAAGCTGGTACTCAGCTGGATGTGAGTCGGGCACTGTGCTATAGTGACTCAGGCATAGCAAATGTTATTATGCTTCAGGAGGAGAGCTCTTGTTGTAATGTAGGGAAGACTGACCAGGAGGGGGAAAGCCAGCACCAGGATGACCACCCAAGAGGTGACAGCATTCTTCAGGAYACAAGACAGCAGGGGTTCAAATAAGCAAAGTGAAGATCAGGGACTCTATGTGTAAATATGTGAGGTGAATTTATAGGAGTGAAAGAGAACTGATAGAAACCTTAAGATGCTGGTGTCCTCTGTTAAAATAAGGGAAGGCAGGCAGAACACTGCCCTAAGTGTTTGGTACGTGAGTTTGAGGGATACCTGGAAGCAGATGTGTTAACGATGTCCAAAAGACAGTAAACAGAAATCAGGAGGGTGGTCAGGGCTGGAAGAAAGAGATATATGAGAATTATTGCTGTATGAAGGTGATTGATGGTAGAAGAAACTGCAGATTGAATGATTTCAGTGTTTGGGAGAAAAAGAAAAAGAAAAACCAGTTCAGAGTTATATATTAAATGGGACTTGAGACTGAGTATGTGAGTTAAACAATGGAATTAACATCTTTATAGAAATGTTCTACTTCAAAGTGTGAAATTTTGAAGAAAACAGTGTCACAAAAATTGATTTGTATACCTTGCACTTAAGTAGGCCAAAAGAACTATTCTTTTTAGCTTCCACTTAACCAGATGATGTAGTTCTGGGAATGACCCCAAAAAGGGTCAGACACATTTTAGATTTTGGAGGCTCTATAATCTCTTCCTGAACCATTAACTTAGCCATGGTGATGTAAAAGCAGCCCTAAACCATAGATAGAACGAGCAGAGAGTGACATTTTGCCTACAGGCATTTGCTGACCCTGATATAATTCATGAAAAAATACCATCATGAATTTACATGGAACCACGTACCCTTGACTAAATTCAGACTGCTTCTCATCACATAACTTAAAAAAAGAGAGTCCTATAACATTCTAGTTGTGGATTGTGTGTAGTCCATAAAATATTGTGAATATCATGTACCTACTAGTGGTTAGCATACATGCCAAAGGACCCCACCCCCAGCACTCCTAAACATGTCTTTCCAAGGTGTTATCTCCTTTGTTCTGTGAATACACACAAACTATGTGCAGCTTTCAGAGGTGTTTTCAGTAGGGAAGCAGGGGGGAGGGAAACAACACATATTTAGAAGCCAGAGAGCCTATGACTAGATCACTACATAAAATGCAGATTGACAAAGTTTGCAGTTTTGCATTTTACTTTGTAGTTACATAGTAACACTATCATTAAATGTTTGAGGCTGTGGGTTACTTCCTGTGTGGTATAGCGTTCCAGAAATGGATTTATTTCTATTTTTTAAAAAATACTATTTACCCCCCAAACTGTTTAATGTGGGTAATGTTATGATACTGTTTTCAATTTGGTTTCAGGGGAGCCCTGGAAGCTTATGTTCAATCAGTGAGAAGTAGAGAAGGCAAAGAATTTGCACCAGTGTATCCCATAATGGTTCAGCTGCTTCAGAAAGCTATGTCTGCTCAATAATAATGTGAAACCTTCGTTAATCTACATACTGCACTAACCCAAAATATGCAGTTACTGTGCACTATTGTTGAAGATTGTAAATGATCTTGTCCCATTTCTGTTTAACATTTTGACTTTAGATGTCAAACTAGGATCTTCAGCACAACCTCATGGACCTGACTTTTCCAGAAATAATCCAACTTTTTTCCTTCTGATTTCAGATTTTTGTAATAGACTAGCTGAAGTTTCTTTCCCATTACATTCCCCTATGGTTACAGTCTTTACTGTTTTTAAAGGGATATGATCAAGTGATAATACTAGGTACTCTGCTTCCCCCAACCTGCCTGCTTCTGCATTAAGTGTGTAGGCCAGTGGTTCCCAAATAGGACTGCATATTCACATCGTCAGGGAAATTTTTTAAATCATGAGGCCTAAGTTTCACCCTAGTTGATACATTTTGGAGTGGTGGAAACTAGGCATCAATATTTCTAAAAGCATGTCCCTAAAGTGATTCTAATGTGCAGCAAAGTTTGTTAACCAGTGGCACATCCCAAAGCTCAGACCACTAAATGTTCTCTAAATGTCAAACTATAATAAAGCAAGGTTTTCTTTATACTTTGTCATTTTATTGAAAGCAGACATTGGTGGTTCAACCTTGTAACAAAGATGACAAGTTAAAAATAAATTTTCTTCTACCAGAGTCTCTATAAAGTCCTTATTTGTCTATTGCTCTTGCCCCATTAATTTTAAAAATGCGTCAATACCCTCATAATTATAGTCTGTTTTCCATCTCCTGATCATGTTATTTTGACAATTCATATATAAAATTTAGTCCAGATCAATCAGAAGTCAGAGATAAACTTTTTTTTCATTTTATTTGAAATAATATACAAGAATATAGTGTGCAAAATTGAGGGGCAACATCATGAAGAAGTGTAAATGAACTGAAATCAATTTTACAGTTGTGATTCCTAACCAGAAACACCACTTGGTAAGTAACATGAAAAGCCATGATTGTAGCTCAGAGCAAAAGCAGCTGTATTGCCAATGTATTTGCTCTAATTTTAGACAGTTGGAGGAAAAGTAAAGTGCAAGTGTTGCACTGCAATAAGTGCAAAGTCTGCCCCCACCATAAAGATATGATGACAAAATATATTTAAGATACGTGGCTGAGGAGATATAGAACACAAAGTTAAAAAATACAATGGTGTCGGACTGTTAATAGCACCATTACAGTGACTATATCCCAATGCTATTAACTATAACTTTACCTTGGCCCAGGCTAGGTCTCCACTGCAATAATGGATTAGTGCTGCCACCTGCTGCATGAACTCAGCATGCCTGTGGTAACTGCAGCAGGTGGCATTTTTTGCTGGGACAGCCATACCATCCACTTTCCACATGTTACACAGTCTCTTGGCACTGGCCAGACTAAGAGCGCCTGTTTGGCACAGATGCTGGGCCACATGGTGGGTGCTCACAGAAAGGCCAACCCCAGCTTCTGCTTCATTTCATCTTGTTTACAATACAGATTAATAAGCAGTAAGGAGCCAATGTATAGACAGCAGTTAACATATTTTTAAATTCCCCTTTGATACGATTTAAAATAAAACAAGTATACACTTCTCCTCTCTTTCTACTATACTTTAGCACCACAGGATATCAATTTTCAAGCCTATATTACCTGATAGACATATATGAAGTTTGGAAGGAAAATAAGGCAATTTGGTTTACAATGTTGATAGTTTTAGCATACTTAATGCTCTAATGGAGAAAGCAAATCCTCACTCATATTATTAAATCATTTCAAGACTCAATGCTATCAGTATCTTATGGTCACACGAATTCAGGACAAATGGTGAGACCTGGATCTTCTTAAGTCTTTCCATCAAGAGTCAATGTTTATGCAACTATAGACTTAAGAACATAAGCATCCTGGTTTAATGTTGTTGTGAGCCCTGTGGAAATAAAATTAAACTCAGTGAATGTTTAAAAATCAATACATAATAATTCTATATATGAAAGCTCAGATGTGTAAGATAATGTTTATAAATTTACTATTTAAAAAAGATTGCTTTCTCAAAGATCATTTTAAATTTTGTTAATACTTTATAAAAGATGAGATGGATTAGGGCAAACATAAAAGAGATACAGGTCAAGTCCTACCACATGAAATTCTAAACTAATGAAGTTTAACTTCCAAAATCAAGTTCAGTCACCTTCTCACCTATTACTTTAAAACTTTATGCAGATGTGACCTGCATGTTACTATAGAAATAGGCATAAATATATAGAATGAATTTAAAATGTCCTTTTAACCAGCCGTCCTGTTAACTACTGACCTCTCTTCCCTTTTTTTAGTGAAGAGCCCAATCTGCCCTATCGTGTGACATTTTCTTGTAATTGCTCTAAAAACAGTAAACATAAAAAATGCTAGTCTAGTAATAGAAAATTTCTAAGAAACAAGTCTATCTGAGACAGCATTATCATGATACAAAATTGTTTACCACCATTTCTGGGCCTATATCCTCTTTTGAGGTTTTTAATCTAAAAATTCTGTGCCTATGGCAGAAGTGACCCCTGGATGTCAGTAAACATACACCCACACCAGCATCCTCATTAGTTTCTCACCAATTAAGGACAGAAAGGATGGTGAGACCTGCCACCAAAATTAGACAAAATTTCTACTGTGGTATTAATAGGTTAATAATGCTTATCTTTCAACCCAGCTAGAAATAAAAACTATCTTTCTACCTCAACATTTAAGACAAACATTATTTATAAATTAGCTTCAGATTTCTATTTGCATACTAAGGGAGTGAATGCACAGAAAGTGTTTCCTCATATGATATGAAAATATTATTAGATTATAAAGTATAAAAATGCTACGAAATAGCATCAATACAACCTTGAAAGGTTATAACAACTGCTCCATCACTGCAGCACAACTATGGGGATAAATCAAGATCATTTTAAACAACTACTTGCTGAAACGTACTGAATTGGTTCTTTTCCTTTTCCAACAATCAGGATTTAAACGTTTTTGTTCTTCAGCCAAAGCCTTTGCTTCTAATGTATACATCCTTCTCTCTTCATTCTTCATTTTCTTCCACCTGTCACCAAGGATCACACTTATGGCTCTGTAAAATAAATATTTACACAATGTTGAAGACAAGAATTTTTCACAAAATTCACATCAAGTGCTGCTACTTGAGGCAGAATTATAGTTAAAGACAAAAATCTTGTCCAACATAAAGAAGGGAAAAGGTCAAGGCTGTCAGTCATTTCCAGCAAACTCCCAAGTCATATGGTCTATTTATCATAATCTTGACATTTAAAGCCTCCTTGGAATCATGCCAATATTCTCAATTGTAGAAAGACATCTAAAAGGGCCAGAAATCAGGTATTTTAAAAAGGATCAATTACCACTGGATCTATCCTGGTATACCAGCTTTTAAAAGATGTTTAAGACAAAAGCAGACAGTATGCAGTATCAGTATAAAGTATTCAACTTGTATTAAAAACTGGCTGTACAGTTATGATCAATGTCATTTTTTATCCATGCAACCATAGTGATTAACTATGCTTGCCTTAATGTTTATCTTATGATGTTCTTATCATTTAAACTGAATTAAAATCAAAAGGTTAAGAAGTCAATAGGATGTATCGGGATAGAAATTTGTAACTATTTTCCTATTCATACTTGTCACTCTGCTACCAAGCCTATTAAGTCTCACCCCAGGTCACACAGACATAACTCTTCTTCTTTTCTAAGAGTGCCTAACCATTCCATGATACTCACACAAGACAGAAAACCTTGGAATGACTACACAAGTACAAACAAGTGATTTTATACTGATAAGGAAGGTAGACTGCCATCTATGCTTTAAAAGATTGTAACCACAGATTCTCACAAAGAAATACATAGTAAGTATATTTGTCTTTTGTCAACTATGTCAAGGTGGTTAAACCTTGCACTATCTTCTTTTATTAAAAAAAATTTTCAATAGTTTTAATGGACATAGGTACCATGTAACAGTTGATTTATTTGCCACTTAAACCAGTAAAAACTATTCACATACACACCCTTATCTCAATTTTACAAAATATATGAGATGTTTTTGAATGGGGTGGTTATGTAATCTTGGGAAACAATTTACTCCCTAAGTTAAAACACCACATAGATAATGAAATGTGCACAACGTTACAGACTATTATCTATATTCCCTTTCTTTTTTTAAAATGTCTTTATTATATTTACTTATTTTTATGTGGTGCTGAGGATCGAATCCAATGCTTCACATGTGTGAGGCAAGTGCTCTGCCACTGAGCCACAACCCCAGCCCCTATATTCCCTTTCTTTATAATTATAAAATAAACAACACTGTCTAAATATTCAGTTTTGTAGTGAATTTTTCATCCAGGTTGATGTTGATACCAACTTAAAATAAACTATATATCTCTCTGAACTATCTGTTTTCATGTCTACTCCCTCAGTTTGCCAAATAAGAATCTCTTTATTCACTGACTTAGAACATCTCTCTATTGGAGAAAGGGAAAATAATCCTTTTTTCTGTGTGTGTGATACTGGAGATTGACTGCAGACTTCAAACATGCTAGGCAAGTACTCTGTCACTGAGCTACATCCCTAGCCCATAAGTTCACAAATATGTGATTTTTCCCCCCTTCAATTTAAAGACAGATAACCTCTGATATCCTTTGATGTTAGATGATGATTAATAGATCACGTGGAAGCAATGCTAAAATGCAAAGAAAAATAAGACCTATGAGCAATAAAGAGAATAATCTGACACACAGCCCCTGAAAAACAGAATATATATATAAGTAAAAATGAGATTTATACTCAATCAAAACAGTTCATTTATCCAGAATTATAAATAAATTTAGAAAGCATCCCTGCTGACACTCAGGGGTGTTAGGGGATAAGACTGATTAATGTGGTATAGGCACAAGAATCTAGTAGCTACATGTCAAAGGACACTAACAATTCAGTACCAGATATGTGCAACAAGAATGCAGCCCTGCACCTGTTACTAACACTCTATGGATGGTTTCTCAGATAAAAAATTACTTAAAAAAACAAGAAAAGGTAAAAGTTGTTCTTACAAGGTCTTTAAAATTTTAAGTGTATTTCAATATTACATATTACTCACCAGAGAAAAGACTTCCAAACTGAATTTTTAAAAAACACTTTAGTTAAACTCACTTTTTTTTTAAACTGATGAAGAAATGGAAGACTAGAACTTTAATGTCCAAAGTCACACAAATGTCAGACTCAAGAAGAGTTCAAAAACTGCACTGAAAAGGCCCTTAGAATGCTTTACTCAATAATTCTATCCTACAGATTGTAAAGAAGTAACCAGATGGTAAGCCAAAGCTATTCATGTTACTTATAATATTTTGTAAGGGAAACTGTGTATTAATGCAAAGATGCATGTAGGATGAGAAGCTTTTCTTCTAAAACGTAAATACTACTTAAGATCTCAAAACACTCAAATCTGAATTTACAACTGAATTTTGTGATTAATCACTTATGGTATCAAAAGTAAATGAAATGGCTGTTTTGACCATTAGAGAAATAGGAAGACTGGAAGAAGAGAGCTTTAACATAAGAGAGAATATGATTGGTTTGAGAGTGACAAAGGACTCAGATGAAGTAAGGCTACAGGAAACACTAGGCAAGATTTGAGTTCATTTTTATTTCTGGGCTCTACTGAAGACAACTCAAAAGTCAGTCTCTTGACAAATCTGGCAGCTTAGACAAATTGCCAATGGTTGCACATTCCATATTAAGACTCAGTTATAAAATCCTTGAAATATGACACAAGATAGTGCTAGATTTCTTCGATAAAGATACAATCTACCAGGTAAATGATATTCTTATTTTAAAAGGTAGATCCTTGCCACTGAAAGAGCCCAATGTATTATCGGTCCATTTATTGTAAAGTAAAACCTGACCCAAAAAATTCCACTTAAACTTACTTTAAGGTCAACCTATTAGGAAGAATTCAATTAAAGCTATTGAAAAATAAAATTTACGTAATATCCCAGTTACCGTGAAGTGTTCTGAAATATTAATAATTATAATCAGAATTATTGCTATGTTTACCTGTTATC